GAGGGAGGGAGAGGGAACTGGGATTGATATGTAACATAAGAAAAAAAATTAAAAACCAAAACAAAACAAAGAAAAGAGTTTACGGACTTTCTTCAAAACAAGATAGTGCTTTATATTTGTGACATGTTTGGCAGCCATGCAGAGCCTGGCATATATAAACATGCAATAATTACCCAAGAGATTAGTGGGATATATACTGAATTTTAGAAGGCTCTCAGAATAAAGAGCAAAATGAAAAATATTCTTCCTTTGGAAATAATTTAATACCCCTGCTACTTCTTAGTCTGCCATGGCTACACACGTTTATAACCCCAGATGAGCAATGAAGACTGGGAAGCCAGAGGTGGCTAGCTGACCTCCATGAACATTATTACCAGCTCAGTGGGAGACTCCACCTCAAAGCAATAGACAGTGATAGAGGAAGATACTAGATGTCCCGCTGGACCTCCAAATGTGTACACATGTCCCCCCCAATACACATATATGATACACTCACTAAATAAATAAATATTGAGGTAATCATAAAGTAAGCATTTAAAGCCACACTGTCTGCTGATCTGGAGAAAATGAAAATAACTGCTTGAGCTTTCTACATCATAATTACACAGAAGAAGTCTAGGAAATGTATGTGAAAACAGGTACTTAAGTGTGTCTAGGTAAACAGCTCAAGGGGTGTTGAATTTGGTTCTAAATACATTTATTGGTATGAACTCTATAAGCAGATAGTTTGAACATAATGTTTTAGGTTGGGAATAATTACAAGTGACATTAACAGTCCCTGAATAGCGCCATCAGACTGAGTGTGACAAGGAAATTCACACACTTCTGGGGTGCATGCCCATGGTGCCAAACAGAAAGCATGGCCCTGTGGTGCCAGGCAGTCAGGCACTGTTATGGGGAGCCAACATATGGTGTGGAGTTGAGGAGATAGAGAGACAGAATGTTCATGTGCTGTGGAGAGAGGCATATCTGAAGAGGTAAAGGCGATGAAAAGCAGGCTGAGGTGGGTGACTTCATTGCCATTCAAGGCCATGGAGATGTCTGAGCCTGGGCTGCTGCCAGGGCCTATGTCTGGGCTCACAGCCCTGTTTCAGCTGCAGCCCGTGTTGCTGTTTGTTGAAGACTGAGGATAGAATTTTATAATAGATAAAGTTGGCCCCACCCCTCACTGACTGCAATAATAGGGAGGTCTGGTCCTGCACTTCATTGGCTGTAGCACTCTGGAGAGCACATCCTACACCTAGCCTTGCCAGCACAGTAGAGTTGACCCTATTCACAGCCTGGAGGAGGCAGGAGCTGGTCCTCAGGGGTGAGAGTGGGACAGCTGATACCCTCCCTCTCAGCTGCTGGGTGGTGGTAACGAGGGCATGGGAACGATGCCCCCAACCCCAACCCCCACCCCACCACCTATAGCAGTCAAGGGAGTTGACCCTTCTCCCTTACCAGCTGCAGCACTTGGTAAAGTGGGCCCTGCACCTCGCCTGCACAGCATAGTAGTACTGACCCTATTGAAAGCGCACGGATAAGCCAGCCCTGAATGTATAACCATGTGAGAGTCATCTATCAGGTGGCAGTGTGAGCAGGAAGCTATGCCTCCCCCTTGCTCCTCACCCCCCACCACATGAAGCAACACTCAAGGAAGTGGTCCCTGCCCCTCTCCTGGGTAGCACAGTAGAGCTGACCCTGTTGGCTGGGACCCGGGTGAACAGGCCCTAGATCTGGTCCTTCATTTGTCATATGATGGCAGGGCAAGAGACAGAGAAGCCCCCCCACACACACACTCCTTGTCATTTGTGGAAGTTAGGAGAGCTGGCCCTGAGGTCACAAGAGTAGGAGAATATCCTTGCCCCACACCAGCTGTAGCTCTTGGGAGTATGGCTCCTGCACCTCACCTGGGCATCACTGTAGATCTGGCCCTGGTGGTAAAGGTATAGGTGAGTTGACTCTGAGGGCATAAACGAAGTATAACCTCCCCAGTCCTTGATTCTTGCTGCATAGGGTAAACTGCCAGGGAAATGCTGGAGAATTCACCCTGGTAGTGAGGACAGGCGAGAGCTGGTGGGCTGACCAACCCTTCGAATACCCAAGATCAAAACCAAGATTGAGTTGTCCCACCTCAACATCCACCCCATCAAGGATCTGCTGAACCATGAGAAAGAGCACATCCTGCAGAATCAAAGCTGCAGGATTTCTGTGACTCAGGGCAACCACTGGATATCCAAGAGGAGTACCGGTGAGGTCCCAGTGTCAGTGGTGTGGCAGAAACCACAGGCTTCAAACCAGACCAATGACTCTCCGTAATGAACACTTACACGTAAGGATATGTGGACAAAGGGTATAAAATGTATTACACTACAGCTTCCATGGTGAGATTTTTCTTTTTTTTAAATTTCTCTTAAATTTTATTTTATTTTATCAGGAGGAGGAGGAGATTACAAAGGCAGAGGGCAGATACAAAGAAGCAGGGAGATGAGTGTGAATGCGATGCATAATGTGAAAGATACAAAATAAATACAGTTTTATAAAAGGACATTAACAGCTAATTTAGTTGATTGGAACACAGCTGGAAAGATGGTGACCAATTATAAGCAAGTTTTAGGGATGTCTGATATGAACTGAGTTACAACGGGAATTTGAGGTCTGTATTCTCCTGGGCATGGTCCCTGTCTCCAAGGGCTAAGGCCTTTGGCCTCAGACTACACCACAAGCTTCCTTGATTCTAGAGACTTGGAATCTGGACTAATCCACACTAATGGTGTTCCAGCATCTTCATCCTGCAGATTCTTTCTCAAGTAGCCTCTGTAAACATTTGAGTCAAGCTCCCTAATTGATTCTCTCCTATACATCTCTCACTATTGTAAGAAACAAGACCCCCCCCCAACTCTCTAATAACAAATTCAAGACACCTCAAGTAGCAAAAGCCTGACAGTTCTATTTTTATTTCTGCTGAACAAGTCACCAACAGAGAGGCCAATGAAGCTGACAGGAATTCAGTATGAAATAGTGTTTTTTATAGTCCTAAACAGAATCCTTTGCTCTCTCTCTCTCTCTCTCTCTCTCTCTCTCTCTCTCTCTCTCTCTCTCTCTCTCTCTCTCTCTCTCTTTCTCTCTCTCTCTGTCCTTGGCTGGGTGCTTCTGGGGAACAATCTCCCCAATGTCTGATACATCCATCACTCTAAATTTGTTTAGTTTTTTTTCTAGTTTAAGTTCTATGCTCTGAAAACTCAAAATCTTATCTATTGTACATCCTGGAGCTCAAAAGTATGTCTTCCTTCCTGATACAAGCGCTCAGTCATGTAGCAGTCTGTAATGTTTTAGCACTAAGATAAACTAAGAGTACCCATGCAAGCAGACACCAGCTGCTAGAAAAGGCAGGGCCCAGTGTCTCCTGCCTATTTAAAGTCTGGTACATTTACATCTATCCATAGACCTCTGATTTAAGGAATTTTTCATTTATATTTTATTTCTTACTCCTACCCATCTCTCATCGCCTCCTATTGGTTGTGTCTCTTGGATAAATCCAGAATGATATAGGCTCACCAAGAGAAGCCACTTTATCAAGCTTGTATAGCAATTGAGGTAGCATCAGTATTATCAACTAGTAAAACATGACCATGTGCTGTTTACCCAATTATTTAACAAAATGTGATTGGTAGCCAGTTTTGCATTCTACTTTCTGCCTCCAGTTAATTACCCAGTTCCACTGGGAAAGGATTGAGGAAGAAAATACCAGAAATTGTTCTTTGTCCTTGGCATCATTTAATTAATTGCTTTAATCTACATGATGCTTTTTGTAAGATTATGTTTCTTTATCCTTGAGAACTTTATGAATGTGTACAACAAAATGTGATCATGTCCACCCTCAATTTTCTTCCTCAAAATTTCCCTCATATTCTCTCAACTTTATTTGCAAGCACAGAAATCAAGTAAAATAATTATGATTTATTGTATAAATGCCAGCTGAATTATTCATAAGGATATCACAAGTGCACTTTGCTACTCTAGTACATGGTGGGAAGACAAACGGTGAAGCAAGAAACTGTGGCTGTGTGGACATATGAAGATTTATAGAGGTGTATGTAAGTAGTTTTTCCCCACCGCCGGTCAGGTCCCACTTCTGTGCCAGCCCCCACCGAGACTCTGTATTTGATATAATTCTGTTGGCCTGATACTTGTTTCTTACCGGCTAGCTCTGTCTTAATTATTACCCATTTCTATTAATCTAAGTATTTCCACATGGTCTCATCTTACTGGAGAGTGAGGCTTGGGTCTGGTCTCCCCAGTCTCTCCATGCTGACTCCTCCTTACTACTTCCTTGAATCCTCCTTGTCTCCTAGTCCCGCCTATCTTGCTTTCCTATTGGCCAATAGTGCTTTATTCATTAACCAGTATGAGAAACATATTTACAGAATGACATCTCCCATCAGGTGTGCCCACTGTGTTCTCTGTGTATGTTCAAGGGGCAGATAACTGAACCATCAAACAGATTTTTCAATGTCTGATTGGGTTCTGTTAGCTAGGTTATGTTATGAACTTCTTTTTGTTTCTTTTAAAAATCTAAACAACAACAACAACAAAGTCATTTTCTCAGCTGTTTTTCTTTACTGCCTCCTATTCACAGTCTCTCTAAGCACTTTTGCAAATGTTCTGGCCCTCTGCCCACACAACCCCAACCTCTCTTCATATTTTGCATTCATTTTCCCCAAGACAGCATGTACAGTCTCTGGTGATTAATTATTTTCTCTTTGTTTAACTTTCTCCACCATACACTACCTGCTGTCTGTTTTTTTTTTTTTTTTTTTTTTTTTTTTGTACTTTGCTTTTCTGACCAATTGTTATGCTTTCTGGATTTGATCCTTTCATTCCCCCTTCTAAGTATATGAGTTTAACATACATTAATTATATCTCAAAATAATCAAAATAATTCTCCTAGCATTTTTATCTTCTTTATTTAATAATGATCTCTCATAACCATCTCAGAATTAAAGCATAGACTAGGTTTATATATTTAGTTTGCCTCTGATACTCTTCCACCATTCAGATTTCTATATTACTGCTTCCCTTCCTGGCAATGTTATTAATATTCAGTCTTATTAAAGACTCAAACACTCAATATACCAGTCAAATGTTATCTGTTTAACTATCTTTTGAGGTGTTAACAACTTGAACCAATTTCCTCTTTGATTCTTTGATGTAGGATCCTGTGTAGCCCAGATTGGCTTCTAACTCATTATGTAAAGAGGCTGGCCTTGTGCTGGGATTCTAGGCATACATGCCCAGACTATCGACATACATGAACACTTCTTGCCATTTCCATTGACTGCTTTTCAATTTGTCTTCATCAATTTATTTATCATTCATCACATGTGTCTAGCTGAATGGTATATACACTCAGAATGCCCTTGATTTTGTCTATCCATCATATTAGACTGAATGACTTTATAACATTCCCTATTCTCTATTGGTAAATACCACTGAACAATTACTATGCTAGTGAATGTACTGATGGGTCAGAAAATATACGATTTTTGTAAAATGTTGTATCTTTGAAAAAGCCATTATTACTGGTGCTCAAAATATTTCCATATAAAAATTATATATCATGTTAAAACACATACATAAGTAGGGGTGAATAATAGTAGATGTATATCATGTCCAGCTATATCTGTTGAGAATTCTATGAACAACTAAAAAAAAAAGTATTACCTGATTTTCTAAGTTTAGTTAATTTCTCAGCCTACTTCCTCCTTGTTTTCTTTTTGTTCATGGTCGTAGACATACAATAAAAGCTAACTAATTCCTTGATGGCTTTTCAGAACAAATTTTTGTAAGATTGTGACACAAAAAACAAGAAACTTGGAGTGGATGCTATCCACAAAAGGGGGATATTTAGAGGATCAAAGGCAGCCTACTAAAACATTGGCATGGGAGAATAATGGTAAAACTGACAGAAAGTGGAGCAAACTAATTTTTCCATAATTTTGTAAAAGTCTTTCAGGATTCTACTATGAATTGAACTGTTCTGGTCCCCTAATTCTTAAGAACCAACCGGAGAAGGCATTTCCCCTTTGTCTTCCAACTCACTGTAAATTGGTGAATAAACATTTAGTTCTTCATAAAGACGATCATCTGTGACCTGAGAAAGAGAAAAACCATACTGTATCAATTACTCAGAACTTTCCATTTCTAGAAAGTTTATCACATGGGAATCTCTTCTTTTGTCTTTTTTGAATTTCACCCTACCTCTCATGACAGTCAAATTATTCCCTTAACGTCTAGAAACCAACTCAGATGGGTTGACCAATGGGGGCTAAAAGAAACCGTGTCAGTGACAAATTACTAAAGTTGTCTGTATTTGAAATGGTTTATCTTCTGACTCAGGACAGTGGTCATAAGAAGTGTAGTGACTGGAGTGTGTCTAATGGACATAGTAAGTTCCATATGTCAGAATTAAGTTAGTATCGTGGCTAAGAATTGGAAATCCCCGTGAAGGGTGTAATGAATGAAATGCAGTTGTCACCATGAATCAGGAGGGAAAGAAAACTCAAGGCTTATTTAGAGCAATAGAGAGGGGGAAGAAAAATTACATGGTGGAGGGGCAGAAACAAACAATCTCTTTGGGAACAAAAAAAGTAAACCCTAACACATGATAGTCTCCATCACACACCTCACATGTGGCCCCTTCAAAGCACCCACAATTTCTATAATTATAAAGATTCCATTTGTGGCAGAGCGGGGGGACAAGACCAGGCTGCAGAAACACATAGAGGTAGCTGACCTGAACAAGGAAGAGCTAATGGGCCCCCAGACTGATAGCTGGGAATCCATCATGGGACTCAGACCCCCTTGAACATGAGTCTCAGCTAGAAGGCCTGGGCAGTCTAAGGAACCTCAGACAGTGGAACAAGAATGTATTCCTGGTGAACAAAAGTACCTTGGGGGCACACCCCCCTCATTGAGGGATACTACCTTAACCTGGAGACAGGAGAGAAGTCCTAGTCCCTACCCTACTCCAAATGACTTGACAATGCAGATGACCCCTCCTGGAGGGCATCACCCTACATGTGGAGTGAGGGGATGGAAGGGGAGGGTGGTCAGGGGGCATGAGAGGATGGGAGACAGGGATAGAGGGAAGGAGGGAGGGAGGGATGGAGGGAGAGGGAACTGGAATTGATATGTAAAATAAAAATAAAAATAAATATTCCATTTGTGTAATCCTCAAGGAACTGTGCTAAGAACATGTGCCATTTCAGTATCATAATAAGAATTCCAATATGAGATATGAAATCCTGTTGTTGAGAAAAAGTTTTTCAGGAAAAACATTCCAGAAAGTTCAGGCCATATTTTAAAGGAAGAAAGCACAAACTCTTTAACATCCTACTCAGGGCTTGCTACTGACCTTATTACTCTTGAATGCTTCTCCAATCCTATAGATAGTGAGCAACACAGCACTACAAAAGGCCAGCATGGTGAGGAACAGCATCATCGACACAATTTCCTGTCAGACAGCAACCAACCAACAGGCGAGTCACAGACAGATGTACCCCAAATCCCTCCCCTTACAGAAGCTCCCTCTTTCAACCCATCTTGGGAGCACATCTTATAAACTGAAACATGCATAGGAAGCCAGGAGGTGACTACTTGGAGATGATGACTCTAAGCTTAAGGAATGTAGCCAGGAACCCCTCAAAGTTCATAGCTCTATATTGTGATATGGAAACTCAAAATGGGGGATTGTGTCTCTGGAAAAGAAACGGGGCTTCACACTTAGGTCAGGACCCAGAGATGTTGTGCTTTCACAAGCGATACATACTGTGATGAAAGCAGTCACAAAGCAGCCATCATCCTCATTTAGATCCTTACAGTATTTCAGATAGGCAGAATTGTGGCTCAGGTTGAGAATCAGTATGATGATCCCTATTCCTGCAGCAATGCTGCTGATAATGCTTGCTCCCAGGCTTCCTCTCACCTGCTGGCAGAAGAACATTCAGCTCTGGGGCTGTGTGGCAGCAGCCAGTCAACTGCTCTGTCTTTCAGAGCTGGTCCTGCACAGTAATTCAAAGCTAACTAAACCTCCAGTTAACTGAGGAACTCTTGCAAATGTACTCATCGTCTGGCAAGCATCCCTTCTCCTCTGAGATGCCTTTAAGAATAACATGAGGGCTGGGGATATAACTCAGCAGTGGACCACAGGCTTAAGCATTGCAGAAGGTCAGGGGCTCAATGCAAAGCATGAAAAAAAGAAAACACAGCCGGCTGTGCATAGTCTATTCTCAAGCCATCTTTGTGGGAAAGTAATTGCACAGCCATAAGACTATTTAAATATGTATGGGACAATACCTGTGTGGGTCCCATTTAAATAGTGTCAAGACAATCAAATTTCACTGCTTATTAAGTGACACAATTTGTGTTTCTAATGATTTTATCTAGCTTTTGCAAAAACAAAACAAAACAAACAAACAAACAAACAAACAAACAAAACCAAAAAACCTTCAAGCACCAAGGAGGTAACCCACATATATGCACTCTGTAACTCAGCTGATACTGGTGGGTCTTGCTTAACGCCCCTGAAATTCCACTTGTCTCCTCTTGGAATAAAGGATAAAAACGTAACTGTGACTCACCAGATACAGGCTGTTTTTCCTTTCAGACATAACTGACAAAAATCCAGACAAAACAAACTGTTCAAAAAGAAACAGGAGAGAAAGGAAAGTGAGTCTCTGCTGTCCGGGCCATTCCTTCCTCTGCTCTTGAAGTACAAGACTAAGCTTTGGACCCTTCCACGAGACCAGTACTTATTATTATTTCCTATAAAATGCTTCTCAAAGTCATCTGCTTATACGGACCATGAGAATGTCCTGAGAAAATGCAGGGCCTGAACTGCGTTTCGGGCACATGCCTGTGATCCTGGCACTCCAGAGGCTGAAGAAGGAAGGAGCCTGAGCTACTCTGTGAGAAAAAGAAAAAGAAGCATGCAGACTCTTACTTATTAGGCCTTAAACGGGACCTGTGCTCTTCGTTTTTGCAAGGCTCCCCTGCGAGGTTGACTTTGATACTTCCTGGCTAGCAGCATCTGGTGTAGAACTGCAGTAACAGTCTCATTTGTTTTAATGTTTTGTTCATATGTCCTGTCTTTCACTGTCAGCTCCCCCAGGCCAGAAACCTGTATCCCTGCCGTGCATACCTATGGAGTCTGCTCAGTAGCACATGTCCATATAGTTATTACATATTCCATAATGGAAATATGGAAATATTTAGTAAAAGTAAAAATTCAGAGCACCTTCTAAGAAACTGAGATTTGTGTATCCAGGTGGCACTTAAATCGCTAAATATTGAGCCTATGAGATAATTCAGCAGGTAGAGATACTTGTAACACAACACAGGCTCAATGATCTGAATTCAGTTCCAAGATTCCTTAAGGTAGCAAGAGAGAAATGACATCCTAGGATTGTTCCCTGACCTCCAAATGAGTACTGTGGTGTGTGGTGTACACATACACAGAGAGAAAAAGAGAGGAAGGAGAGAGAGTAAATAAATTTTAAAGCTAAAAAGAAAGTTCAAGGAAAAAATGGTAGATGATCAATAAGATTCTTGACCAAGTGACCAAGAGATCTGCAAACTATATGCTTAGCAGCATATCAAACCAATGTGATGTTTTTCTTATATTTAAATATATGTTTATAACTGAATTATCAATAAAAGTAATACACAATCATAATATGGAATAAAGGAAGACTCGAGACATTGTAGAAATTCTATTACTACAAAGTTGTAAAAATTGAACACTAACTTTCATTTACAGTGATTGCTTCAGGGAGCACAAAGACAGGAAAAGTTGTAAGAGTGCAAATGTAATTTTTCAAAATCAGATAAGCTCATTAAACTGAGGGTGACATATGTGCGTGTGTGTGTGTGTGTGTGTGTGTGTGTGCATGCACGTGCACGCATGAAATCAAATTTTACACCTCCTATTCACAGAATTCTTCTTTTACACCTCCTAGTCAGAATTCTTCTGGACACAGGATGTGCTCTCATTCAGCCACCTGCTTTCTAGATAGCAGAATGTTTAAAAAGGAATCCAGTACATTAGTGACCAAAAGCATGTCAAGGGATCAACAAATATCCATCCAGTATTGCTAACATTGTTCTCACCTGGGCAATATTTCCCCCTTCCTTCTTAAAGACAACCTTTTGGGCTACTGTGGAATTTTTTAAGATTTAAAAAAATTTATCTGCAAGTGTCTGCAAGCATGTCTGTGTATGTGTATGCCATATGTGTACAAATGCCCAAGACTAGAAGAAGGTTCTTATCCCCTTGAGCTGGAATTACAGGCAGTCATGAGCACTGACATGGTGCTGGGAACTGAACTCATGTCCTGTGGAAGAGCAGCAAGCACTTAACTACCAAGGCCTCTCTCCAGATTTAACTTAGCTTTTACTAATGGATAAAATATATGTACTTAGCATGTGGTTTTATTAATAATATTAACAGCATCTTTTAGAAAGCAAGTCTTAGGAAAATCATTTAACTTCTTAAATACTAATGTATTGTTCTTTTACAATTTCATGCACTCTCAACTTTTTCATTCAATAAATGTGCTAATGGTTTAAACCACATCTAAGGGTGATTTGGAAGCACATTCCCCATAGAGGGATACTCCCTTAACCTAGAGGCAGGAGGGAGGGCCTACTCCCTACTACAAATGACTTGACAGATTTTGTTCATCCCTCCTGAAAGGGACAGAGGGAGGGATGGAGGGACAGAGGGAGGGAGGAAGGAAAGAGGGAGGGGGGAACTGGGATCGATATGAAAAATAAGAAAAAATCTTTTGATCTTGTTAATGAATATATATATATATGTATATATATATATATGAAGAGCTGAAGATTTTATCAAAGTGCTAGAGAAATGTGGTTAGACTTGATCAAAAGAGAACCTGTGACCAGAATTATTTCAGAAACAGCTACAGATATGTTCTCACCAGCACTGCTCCCCAGAATGGATAGCCTGCTCTATACGACAGAAGCACTTCATCATCAAAGTCTGACATGTACACTGAGGAGCAGACAATTGTTCCAAAACAAAGGCATACCAAACCAACCAGAATTTGTGTTACCTGCAGAAAACATGAATTTTATAAAGTTAGGATATATTTTTCAAGACTGTCCCAGTTTCTCTGTGAGATTGAAAATGAAAAAAAAATCTCTTTAGTGTCATAGGTCTTTCTAAGATTGAAACAGATGTGAGATTTTCTTCTATCTTCTGTTAACTATATTTTTTTTAAAAAAAAATGGAACCATGACTAGTAGGCTGTACAGCATCCATGGTCAACACATGTCATTCACATCTTTATTTACATAGTTACGATGGGCATGAGTAATTGTTCTTTCTAATTGACAACAGACATTATGTACCTATCCTTCATTTCTTTTCTCCATTCATGTCCCAGTAACTTCAAGTCTTTATGAGAAAATGCTTCTCTCTTCCTAGAATGTGCAAAGTCTACCATCAATTCCTCACTTATCAAGAATGTGACAGGACCTACATCACTTCTCATCATCCCACAAGAGGAAATGTTAATATAACCAAATACTCTTCCCTAGAGGCAGCCTGAATTTGAGTTGAGAATGGAGGCTAGGCACTCACCCCCAGGAACTCCAAATCGCTCTTCAAAACTGTCTGCCATGTCTGCTGTGGTGGGGGTGGTGCTGGCTTCCCTGGCAGAGCTTCACCGGCAGGAGATGCTTCCAAGAGCTCAATGTCAGGTGCACTGAAATTTACAAACTTTCAATCATGTCAACTCCCTTTGTGAAGCTGTCAGAACCTAGAGTGTTATTTGTTAACAGTTTCTCAAAAGAAATTAGAAGTTGAACTCTTTAGTGTAGTGCCTTAGAAGAAGGTGCCAAGAGTCAAAGCAATCAACCGAAGACATTTGAATATTATTCAAGTGTTTACATAGAACAAAAGAGAAGAAAAATTATGCCTCATGCTCTTCTTCATCCCAAGTTGTCACAAGTTCCTTCTACCAATATCTATCTATAATTAAAACAAAACCAACCAAATATGTTTGTCAACTTCAAAGTCATTTTAATATAGAAACATACATGCATTTATTTTGTCAATGTGCACAACTTCAAACCCAGAGGATTCAATCACCATTCCTATTTTAATCTTGGGTGCAGAATTCCATGTCCTAAATTTCACAAAGCTCAACCTGGAATGAAGTCATCATAGAAAGCCTCTGACCCCACACATCTGACACAGAGGCAAGAGATCTGTATGTTCAAACTCCCTGTCTAATACTCCTAACTACAAGTCTCTAATGTTAGAAAAATCTAGTATTCCCAGTTTTCAAGCCGAGTTAAAAAAAAAATACCTTGCTGCCAATTGCTGAGAGACACTAATAATGTATACTCTACACAATTAAGTAACTTACTTGAGCTTGTGCATAAATCTATGAATTGGCATCTGTGAATTTCTCTGTCTTGATAAATAACTTCAATGGAAAAGCAATAGTTTCTGCTTACCTGGGGGATTCTTGTGGATTTGGGAGAGCAAGATCTGCTCTACTCTTATTTTCTGCATCCATTTTTTCATGAACTGAGCTAGCTAAGAAGAAGGATACTGTTATGTGGAGATGTGGTGTGCTCTGGGTGGGCAGTTAAGATAGACTGACTCTGAATACAAATAGTTATCTTCATACAGATAAGTCTCCCAGATGACTGATATCAGTGGTTCCTTTATCTTTCTGCAATGAAAAGTAATAAGACTAAGACATCTGCAGAATAGAGAGCAAGATGGAAAACATACCCACATTTTAGAGCATAATTCCTGCCTGAAGCATGGGGTTAACGGAACCTAATATTGAAATGTCTAGGCACTGAAAAGATAAAAGAAAGCAGAGGTAAAACAGGAGTGCTCTTTAGAAACTTCATCTGATGTCCCTATGTCACAAATTCTTCAATGTGATTTTTGGTGTGGCCTCAAGGCTGAAATGTATGTATTAACACTAGTCTCAATTTCTAAATGTATCTCTGACTACACATCCTCTCTCTTCCCCTTCCCCTCCCTCTCCCCTCCCTCCTTCTTCCTTGCCTCCTTCTCATCATATTCTCCTGTCTCCCTGATAATATTTGCTAACTGCAGCAAATGATCATCAAAGTGGGACACACAGAATGAACCATGGCTTAAACTAACCAATGAACTATTTGAATTAAGAAATATACCTTATCTGAGTGTTTCCTTGGTAACTGCTGCAATCTTTATAGTGAGAAGAACAGGACAAGGAAAACATGGAGGAATGTGAACTCATATATACAAATGTTAAGAGAAAATCTGAATGGTGAGAACTGGGCAGTATGTCTGCCCAGACAGTTTTCACCCAACTATATCACAACTAACTATTCTAGAACACAACAAACAAGAGGTCTGCCTTGCATATATTACAGTTTAATTCTATGCATGGTTTTTTTTTCTTAACTGCAAGATACTCTGCATGGTGCCCTAATCACCTGAGCTATTTTCTGGGATATAAAATGTCTCAAGGGAAATTAAGATATATATATATATGATTCTAATGTACATATTGCCAGCTCTTTCTTAACAAAATTTCACTACCCCAGCTACTTTCTTTTCTCTGTATCTTTGGGAATTATCACATCTAACAAAAACATTGTACGTCCCATCTTCTTATTCATTCATACCGAAAGGACTCAACCTTCTTGCTATTAACTGCTCCTATCATGGAGAAGACACTATTGAGGACCATGATCCCAGACTTATCTAGCCCACAGTATTATAGATGAGAACAAAGAAAAATGATTATCCGGGAAGTCATAAGCCAGCAACTGCTAGAAGGCCAAGAAAGTTACAACAGTGCTGCCTGACGGAGCATGCACAGAGTTCAGAGACAGAATTGTCAGGGACAGTGATATTTGAGCCCAGCCTTAAAATGGTTAGCTTAGAAATCACATTCCCCTACCCAACCTTTACAAAACCACTCCTCTGCAGGGTAAAGTCCTGAAGCAATGCAATGGCCCTTTACAGTCTCCTAGTAGCATATAAAGGTTTATGTTCAACACAAAAGTCAGGAACCCTATCTGAGATCTGGACAGGTAACAGATGAGGGTGCCACTTGTAGCATTTTCACTTGTGTCATGAAGTTGCTGGTACAAAACTTATCCAATTTTGATGTAGGCACTTACTGTAATTACATTTTAGAATGGAAACGTGCTTTCATCTTTTTTTTGAATTCAAAACAATTTTCATATTTACTTAAGATATTTTTTTCATTTTGCATGCCAGCCCCAGTGCCACTCCCTCCCTTCTCCTTGCCCTCCACCTCTCCTCTTCCCACCCCCCATCCACTACACAGAAGGGCTAAAGCCTTCCTTGAAGAATTAACAAAGTCAGGCAAGGCCTTCCAGGTTTTTTTTTTTTCTCTTCTTAATGTGAGCATTTATTGCTATATACTTCCCTCTTAGAAATGACTTCATTACATTCCATAGGATTTTGTATGTTGTGTTTTAATTTTCATTTAATTATAAATGTGTCTAATTGCTTTTTGATTTCTGTATTGATGCAGTTATTATTCACTATTGAGTTGTACACTATCCATGCTTTTGTATATATTTCTATTGTTGATAGCCAGCTTCAGCTCATGGTGGCCAGATAGGATGCAGAGTGTTAGTAAAATATTCTTATATTTGTAAATAAATATAAATTTAGAAAAACAAACTGAGTGTATCTTTCCATGTTGGAACATGTTGCTATGTGAGAATTGTAACAAACAGCAACTCATGAAGTGCAGATTCAGTGCTGAAAGGTGACTTGTGACCTCCCGTATTTCACACCCCAGTGTTGATCAACAGCTTCATTCTTCCCCTTCCTGAGATGCTTAACCCATTCTGTACTCACAGCCCAGTTCCCCACAGCCATGTTCCACCTTCCAAAACAGCAAATATCAGAACATATGATCAAATGACTTCCTTTGGGACTGGGCACTTATCAAGATGAGCTTTAACTGTATGTCTGTCTGGAAGGAAGAGATAACAGTTAGCATTTCCCTCCCCCACTACACAGCATTTCTCCTTTAGCACACACTGGCTTTTCACATGCCTCTTACTCTGGCTTTCTCTTTGACTATCAAGTTTCTTCATTCAGTTAGTGTAGGGTGAAAAGGGCCAGGGACAGAAACACCCTGCCTCTAACTAGACTGGAGACTAGGGTCAAGAAAAAACACCCTGACTCATATAATCCTAGGAGCGGGGCTTAAAATCCCACCATTTCCTGAGCTTGCCCAAAAATCAGGCTGCTGAATCCCACCAATCCCTAAGGTCCCTGAGCACAAAACCTCACCAATCCCTAAACCCCAAATCCCACCAATCCCTGAACTTGGCCCAGAATCAGGCTGCAAAAGTTCACCAATCCCAAGCCAACATGGAAAGCTCTACTCCCCCAACCCCAGAAGAAAAAAAAACAGTAGAAGATCTGTACCCTGTTCAATTTGCTGTTGCTTCTCACTCTAGAGGCATCTACCTCCTGGATTCTTCCTTCCCAATAAATCTCTTGAGTGAGGTTTGTTGTGTGGCCAACATTTTTGCCAGAGCAGAGCCCTTCTGTAACAACTGTTGCCAGAGCACAGAGCCAGAGCAGTGCTCAGCAGGGAAAAACGATAACACTTTCCCTGAGCAAAATTTGCTCTACTACAGCAGAAGTGTTATACTCTGGAAATGGAGAAGAATAGAATGGAGCAGAGTTTTAACACTTTCACCGTGGAAACTTTCCCCTGGGAGAGTTGTACTTAACATTGGGGAAACATTTTCCTAGGGCAGGGCTAAAAGCTGCTACACTTACAGTGACTGTGGTATTCCTTGGCTCCTGACTGCCAGCATAGTTTTCCATCTGAGCTGCAATGCTTACAGTCAGAGCCTAGATTTTTTTATTATATTTTTCTTACTTTTCACAGAAAGGATTTTCATCATATATTTTCTCCACCCCCAAGTCCTCACAATCCTCCTTACCTCTTGACCCACACAACTTCATGTTCCTTCTCTCTCTCTCTCCCTCTCTCTCTCTCTCTCTCTCTCTCTCTCTCTCTCTCTCTCTCTCATACACACACAAAACAAAAAATAAAACACTAAAAATACACACAAAAATTCAAATAATAAACATAAAAGGACACACAAAAAACAAGCAAACAAACAAAACCTGGAGCCTTTTTGTATTGGCCAGCTAACACTAAGCATGGGGCCTTCCCTGGAGTGTAGTTGATAGCCAGTGTCACTCCATTGGAGAAAACTGATTTTCTTTCTCCCAGCAGGTACCAATTACCTGGGTGTGTCCCCAAACTCAAAAGAAATTTATTTTTAAATCTCTCATGAGCAAATATTTTCTCAAAGTAAATGCTAATTTTATGCACAAATTTTCATGTGAAAGGTTTAAGTCAGGTTATCTTTAGAGGGTATTTTCTGGTACCTTGCACTAAGGAATTACAACCTATGTCTGTCTCATCTCTCATCTCCCCTTTCCCACAATTCCCTTTCAGCCCTTCCTTCCTGTCTTTTATTCACATTTCTATTTCTTAGAGCCAAGCCTGGTTTTAAAGTATGTAATTAAGAGGCCTGGCAAACTGGTACAGATGCTTTTTATCATACTTCAGAGCCTGGTTTCAATCCCTGGAACTCAAAGGGTGGAAGGAAAGAATGTAATCCACAAAGTTGTCTTCTGACCTCCATGTTCACACCATAGGTGTAATCACACATGCTCACATAAAAACAGAAAAAAAATAAAAGTTTTTATACATACCCATATATTATATGGTTTAGAGTGAAACAGTTTAGACTGACATCAAACTCCAGTGTTTCATAGGAAATGTGACTACAGAAATGGCTATTGGACAAATGGCTCTAAAAGTTCAAATGCCAAGTGCAAACTTTCAGGAAAAAAAAAAAAACCTTCATTTCTTTATCCCTATGCCTTCAGAGATGTTCAGCGCAAGATTCACCCAGTTCACTTTGGCTCTAAATTAGTTTCCTTGAATCCTCCCTATAGGATTTTGTCTTGTATAACAGCCCAAGGTCAGTTAACTACTAAGGTGATTTTCTAAATCATACTAATTCTTATCTGTCTGTCCAGATACCCTCTGTTACACAAAATGGTACTTTTCATTAGAAAAGTAATCATGAATCATGGTTGTCCTCTAATAAATAAGAATCTTTTTTAGATTCTATGCTGTTATAGTGTTACTACTCTTTTGATAAATTTCTATTTAAATTTGAAACAAGCTTGTTTTACATGTCAATCCCAGTTCCCTCACAGTCCCAACCTCCCCTGTCCAGCCACCCCCCATCAACCCCCATATCATCCTCTTTCTGCTCCACAGGGAGGGTGAGCCCTTACATGGGGAATTTTCAAAGTCTGTCATATCATTTGGAACAGGGCCTAGGCCCTCCCACATGTGTCTAGGCTGAGGGAGTATCCCCCTATGTGGAATGGGCTCCCAAAGTCCATTTGTATACTAAGGATAAATACTGATCCACTACCAGAGGCCCCATTGACTGCCCAGTCCTCCCAACTAACACCCACGTTCAGGGGGTCTA